ATTAGAGAGTGTATGAGTTCAATTGACTAAAAAAAATTAAAAAATTAATTGACATAAAAATCATAATTTAGACTTCTTTGTCAAAAAAGATGACAGCATTAAAAAAGAATAATATGTAATTAATGTCAAAAACCACCGACTTCATTCTTAACAATAGGCGTCTAACTTTTCAAAGCAAATTTATCTCTTATCCCTTAACTGTCAATTTCATTCTTTCTTCTTTAAGTTTTACGCTCCGTTTGGTACGATGAAAAAATGAGAGGATAAAAAGTTGAAATGATGAAAAGTTCGAGAGATAAATAAAACATCTTGTTTGATAAGGAATAAAAGTAGAAATGATGGAAAACTGGATGAATTAAATTTCCTTCCAACTCACCAAAATCAATTATTCCAAAATCGAAAAGAAAATAGATGAAAAATTAATTATTTGTGTTGAGATGTATCTTATTTGTCTATATATCTTATGTATACATTAATTTCATATAAAAATATAATGGTAAAATATGTATATATTTTAAAAAATTTTAAAAAATTAAAAAAATTCATAAAAATTAATAAAATTCAAATTTTAAATTAAAAAATATATTTTTTTTCCATTAAAGGTGAAAATTTGCGACTCAACACGATAACACGACTCGAACTCGATACGAAAATAATCAAGTCAACTTGCAACTCGACACGACACAATTAATTAAATTAGTTAAGTTAGGTTTGATTAATATTTGACATAAACTCGTAATGACTCAACATGAATCTGACATGACACGACTCGACTCAATTGTCACCCCTAGTTTTAGCTAGCACAAAAAAAAATAGTTATTTTTATTTTTCATCCATCCAACCAAACACAAAAGAAAGAAAGTGTGTTCTTCTTACTTTCTATCCTTGAAGGATAGAAAGTGTATTCCTTCTACTTTTCATTCTTCTTACTTTTCATCCTCCCTACTAAACGGAGCGGAGCATTAGGGTTCTCCAATTTGAGATTCTCTCTCTCAATTGCCCTTCACTAGAATTCATCCTTGCTCTCCTCCTTTCGCCTCAGTCAAAAAATTACCACATAAAAGCTCAAATCCGCAATTCGTTGAATATGGGTAGACCTCCACCTTGAATTTAGGAATTATTAGATGGTAGTATTGTGATATAGCTCTTGTTATTATGAATTCTCGAGTACATGAACCACGTTATGCACTTTAAGACATATAATATTTTTATTCAGACCTCAACCCGGGCGTCTTTGATAATCTAACTTAAGTTTTAAAACTGAACACTTTCAGTGCTTAATTAATTAAGTTTGTTTGATAACTCAATATTACAACTCCTTAATAAAATAAGTGTCACTTAAATGCAAGGCAAAATTTTAAGTAGCTCTTTACCTACTTAATATTGAAGACTAAATACGCTCAACAACTAGGTTTTTTAATAAAATTTTATTTGACAAATTTGCCCCAATAGTTTCACATCCCTATTGCATATCTCCTTCATCGCCTCTGCATCTTCTCCACAATCTCAAAATTCTTTGTTGCCTCTGTCAGTGCCATCCAACAAACATAGGTATGTTCTTCTTATCTTCTTCCTCCATTCTTCCTCTTTTCTTCTTAATACAACAACACACAAGCAAAAACGTGAACGAACAAACAAAAAAATTTTTGCACTCTTGGGATGATTCTGATGAACAAAAGTGAACGAACAAACAAAAAAAATGATTTTTCACCAACTACCCAACCGAAAAAAATCCATCAACTGCCCAACCGAAAAAAAAAAAAAAAATTCACCGACTACCCAACCAGCAAGCCACTACCGTCCCACCTTCAGTAGTAACCGACAGCAACACAAACACCCATCAACCAACCTCACCCACAAAAACCCAACCCATCTATTCTGGTCCACATGTTTTATTTTGTTCTGGTGGTGTTGTTGGTTTTGTTATTTAGTGTGTTTTTGTTGTTTTAAGTTTGTTCAATTTTGGGATTCATTTTTTTTTTTGTATGTTGCATGTTTGATTTGTTACTTCAAAGAAAATATACAAATGTGTTTGTATTTAAATTTTTGACAATACAGTGTGAATTGAGGTTCTAAATATGTTTTATTTGATAAGTATTGATGTGTGAAAAACAAACCTTACATATCTTGTTACTCTTTTTTTTGGGTATTAGTTAATTGTCTTGTTTTCTTCAATTCTTGTAATCATCAATTTTTTTGTATACTAGTGGGTCATAATAATAATTTGACAATGTTAAACAACATCATATAGACTAATATTTTGTTAAAAAATGGTTATTTATGGATGGTTTCTAATGATGGTGCTAGAGCAAATTGGAAGGATCCAGATTTGCTTAAAATCTTTAATGATTTGTGTCTACAAGAATCATTTGATAAAGGAAGAAATGGAGGTACCCTGAAAAAAGAATCTTGAGATTATATAAGGGTAGCTTTAAAGGAGCGAAAGAATGTTGACTTCTCCTAGAAACAATTGAAGAATCAGTGAGAATATCTAAGAACAAAATATGGAATATGGCCAAAAATAATATCAAAAACTGAAAATGGTTATGATCCAGAAACAAACACTGTAAATTGGAGTTCAACAGAATGGGAAGAGTATATAAAGGTATTATTTTATTCATTGTTAATTATTCTTACAAAACTATACCACAAATAATTATTGAGCTTTTTTATATTTTTATGTCACTGGCTAATCCAGATGCAAAGCAATTTCGCTATAATGGACTACAGTATGCAAATGAGTTAAAAGTTTTGTTTGATGGTTTTAGAGCAATTGGAAAAAATTCATGGAGTCCATCAAAGGAAGGGTTGTCAATGGATATGGTCAGCTCATAATCACAAACACCGATTAATCTTGACGTTGAATCTGTTGAGATACCTTCTTCACCAAAAGATGTGACAAAACAAGACAATAAACGTCAAAAGAAAAGTAAACATAGTGACTTTGATGAACAACTATTTGAAGCTCTTAAGACATTACCAAATGCTGACGGATCAAGTATAGAAGAATGCAATCGTATTTTGGATGAGATGCAGCTTTTTGAAATGAGTGATCCATTGTATGATGTTGCGTGTAGTGGTTTTTGTGAGAGTAAAGCATACAGAGAGTTGTGGATGTTATTACGTCAAAAACCAAAAGTAGTTAGAAAGACATGAATAGAAATGAATGGCAAGAAACTAAAGTTGCTTTGAATTTTAGGAATTACTAGAAGTTACGAGTATTATTTTTATAGGAAGAATGTATGACTATTTTGAATGTGAAAGATTGTTTAAATTTATTTGTTTTATAATTTTTGCTTAAGTATGTTATTGTTGAAATTATCTGTAGTGGTTTTTGAATGTTGATTATTTTGGAAGTTGACATACATAGGTAAATTGTCTTATATTGGACTAATTAGATTTTATTAATTTTGTCTAACAGCATGTTGTCTGAAAAATAGAAGCGTGCATTGAAGGTTGTTGTAACTTCTTTGATATTCAAAATATAGAGGAAAAAACGTGTTGCACTGAGGCCAGAAACTGATGGTTTGCTTCATGGGTCTGGATATTTAAATGAAATACTTGATGGAAATCTAAGTCATTGTCAAGAGATGTTAAAGATGAAAAAAGAAGCTTTTATAATTTTATGTGGTCATTTTCGAAATAGAGGGTGGCTTGAAGATAGTCGTTATGTATCCATAGAAGAAAAGATGACAATGTTTCTCATAACATTGAGTCATAACATACGAAATCGTTTTGTGAAATGAAGATTCAATCATTCAACACAAACAATACATAAATACTTTCATGAAGTATTAGATGCAATGCTCCATTTTTCAAAAGAGATGATTGTCCCAACAACTACGAATTCAGTTAATCATAAGTCATCACTGTCGGCTCAGAGGAATATTTAAGGTATTTTTTTCGTTTTATTTTAACTTTATAGGATATATAATGATTTACAACTTTTTAAAATTCTAACATTTATACTAACATATTTATTTTTGAAAAGGTGTGGTGGGTGCACTTGATGGAACTCTTATTTCTGCTGTTATACCACCAGATGAACAAGTTCCATACAGAGGAAGAGACAAAGGAGAATGTTTTCAAAATGTACTTGTTATATGTGATTTTGACCTTGTATTCACATTTGTATGGGTAGGTTGGGAAGGGGTAGCACATGACTCAAGAGTTCTAAAAGAAATTATGAGTGATCCAGCTAATAATTTTTCAATTCTTCCTCCAGGTTAGATGAAAATATTTAAATAATGTTACAAAATATTTTTTTAGATAATTTATTTTATATTATTCGTGCAGATAAATACTTTTTATGCGATGCGGCATATACACATACACGTGAATTTATATCACCCTATTGTAATGTGCGATATTGGTTGTCTGATTTTCAAAAGAGGCTATAGAAAGCTAAGGGAAAGAGGGTAGAGGAGCTCCTAAATGTCCTTTGGTTTTTACAAGACGACCCCATAGACCTCAACGGGGGAAGCACCTTATGCCCTCGCCTACAGAGTAGAGACGGTTATCCCATTGGAAGTTGGCCTTCCCACTATAAGAACACAAGCTTTTGACGTAGGAGAAAACGGTCACCAACTCAGCCTGGACTTGGATCTCGTGGAGGAAATAAGAGAAATGATTGCCTTGTGGTTAGCAAAATACCAAGAAGGTGTGTCCAAACTCTACAATAAGAGGGTGAAACTCTAAAAATTTCAAGTTGGCGACCTAGTGCTCAGACAAGTAGTGGAAAATACTCGTGATCCAGTCAATGAAAAGATGGGACCTAACTGCGAGGGACCATACAGAGTTATATCAGTAGAAGGTTTTGGGTCATACAAGTTAGAAGATATAGAAGGAAACATTGTACCGCGGCCTTGGAATGTAATGAATTTGAAAAAGTATTATTTTTTAAAAAAGAGTATCTTATTTTATATTCCAAAAAATAAGGGTTTTGCGTCCTTCAAGCTACACAAAAAGAAAGCTAAGTTACAAGGAATTAAAAAGTTGTGTTATGGGGGACCAGTGACATCGTCACTGATGCCACCCCACACGTCATTGAAGAGCTCATAAATGCTGGCAGAGAAAGAGTCGACGCTACGAGAAGTAGGCGCAACATTGGCATGAGTAGTGGAGACTTCACCTTGAGGAGTAGGCACAACGTTAGTGGGGGCAGGAGTGGCGTCTGATGGAGCAACAAGCGTGGTGTCGGCAAAAGTAGTGGAAGCCTCGGGCAAAGGAGCAGTGTTTCCTTGAGGGGCAAAGATTGGAGTTATATTCTTGGCTGGTGGAGCTGGATTTGGGACTTGAAGCGTCCCAGCATCTTCGGCAGCATCCTCAGATGTGGCTTGCTCCAACTTCTCAAAGGGAATGTACTCGTGCTTTTTGAAGAGTGGGGACTCAGTAGGAACTTTAGCGGCCTGAAGCACCTCATCCCATCCTTTCTTGAAGAACTCCTTCTTCGTCTCCTCAAATTCAACCACGGTGTCGTTGGTGCATCGATTGACGATCTCATGCTCTATCTGTTTATTGGCCTCTATCTCAGACCTTAATTTGTCCAACTCTTGAGTGAGGGAGGCACAAATCTAATCTCACTCGGCCACCCTTGCCTTGGCCTTAGACACCTGCTTCGCCGCCTCGGTCATTCTCTTCTCGGCGTCGGCGAGCAAAGCTTTTATCTCATCAACCTCTGCCTTAGCATTTTGGCTCTCTTGGAAGAGCTCAAAAATCTGGGCCCCTAAGTGAATAGAGTCTTGTCTCGAGCGACCACCTCCTTCTTGGCCATGGTGAGAGCCTTGCGGGCTTTCTCAAGGTCAGCTTGGAGTTTTTCACACTCATGGACCTTGTTCCGATGGGCATGAAAGCGCTCGGCAATGACGAACACCTGTTGAGCCACCTAGAAGACAAAGGGATGAAAGTCATGCTCAGTAAGATGCTAAAGCAAAAAGAAAAAATTCATAAGTGTTGAAACCTTACCATCAATGAACTCTAGATAACAGAGTGGAACAATTGATTGTTCCCATGCCCCCGGTGGATCGGCATGCCGGTGTCAAAGTGGATTGTTTCACTCACGACATAGGCAATGTGAGGAGAGGCAATGAGGAAGTTAGTCACCTGAATTGTCTGGTTGTCGCGATCTTGGCCTCTACCACGCCACTCTAGAGCTGTTGGGCTCGGCATCAATGTGGGCATTGAGGTCGACATTGGTGTCAGTGTAGGAGTGTTTTGGCTACGACCAGCACCATTGTGCCTTTGCTTTATTCTTCTCTCCTCAACTTGAGGATCTCTAAAATGGACTCGATCACGTCCTTGAAATGTCGGCAAAACAAGGGCGTCAATTGGTGGAGGAACTAGGAAGGGTGTTGGCCCTTGGATTGTGACCCTAGAAGGACGAGTGCATCTCCGATTGGGGGTGACCTCAATACCCGAGCCATGCCCCCATCCAGTAGCGAGTGTGGTTCTTTCCTTAATTAAGTTGAGAGAGAGAGAGACGAGATAGGTTGGACTCAGCAATTTCCAAGGCATCTTCTTACTTAAGATTTTGAAAATTGTTGAGGTCTGGCCAAGCATCCCTGCCCGAAGTACTTTCCTCGGCGTGGATGGATCCCTTATTTCCTCGGCATTGACAATTGTGTCTTCGACAACCTCTACCTTGGCATTGGTAGCTCTGTCGGGGTTACTTTCTAAGTTTTGCCAGATAACACTGACCACCTTGCTTGATCAAACAGTTGAGGAGTTTGGGAGAAGTTTTTGTACTTCAAAGTGTAATCTAGCAACACGTGCGTAGCTCAGCTAAATCCGTTGCCCACATATCCCCAGACTATGATCAGATCGGCAACGTTGACATGACTCTTACAAAAACAAAGGAAAGAGGATTAAAAACAAGTATGGATATGTCGAGGTGGTGTAAGTCAAGAAAAGAGAGAGAAGTTGTCATACTCGCAAACCGTCGAAGACGAGTAGGTCATCCTTGTACCCCTTGTTAGAGTTTGGAAAGTGTGCACGAGGTACATAGTAAGGTCTCGGGCCTTGAGATAAAACTTCTGATGAGGCATCACCCTTACCAAAATGTAACATAAAAAGATGTCTTCCAAGCTGACGTTGACCTGATGACATTCGTTTAGGGCCACCACTCCCAAGATGATCCTAAAAGTGTTCAGGCAATATTGCCTCGGAAAGAGACAAAATTAGAACAGAAAGTAAAGGAGGATAGGGTAGAGGGGAAATCTGACACCACCCTCCATAATGGTCTTGGTATTAAAGGTCATGGTTGCCTCAGTGCTGACATCGACGCTATGGAGTGCAAGAATGAACTCATTCATAGTCACCCCAAGGGAAATCGAATAATGGGTCCTAAAATTAGTGATTTATTGTCTACCCTTCACTGTATACTTCCTCAGCCTCAAGGGACCAGCCTCGTTGGCCCTAATATTCGTATTTTGACGATGCCTCATCATGGAATAGGTAGAAAAGACTCAAAGATGAGGACCCTAAGGACAACTGAGTGAAGAAAGGGAGGTATTGAGAAAAAAAGAATAGAGGGAGAATTGTATCTATTAAGAGAGTAGAAAGAGGCAATTACTCACCAGTGGGTCTAATTGGAATCTATAAACAAGCAAGAAGAGCAGGACTTCCTCTAACAGATCTCCAAAAGTAAGGTTAATGGTCTCTCTCTCTAATTGGCTCTGAAGAGTTTATGGCTTTCCAACAAGTCGTGGCTTCTTCACTGGAACTCCGACGAATAACTCTGAACTCACAGGGATTGCAGAAGTGGAAAAAGGGGGCAAGAGCTCTGTTTAAATAGGGCTAGGGCCCATTATTGCTCACAAGGAATGAGGGGCGCATTAAATAAGGCGTGAGCCCCAAATAAAGGAAAGTGGTTGCACGAGGGGAGAAAGGTTAAGCCCTTTCATCTTCCTATGCCACATCATCTAGGTCGTACAAAGATCAAGGGCTGGGGAGACTTGATGGGACGTTTCCACGAATTGATGGGGAGACGACATGTGGCCTCGACATGATAAATGTGGAGCCTCCATGAATAGACATGTGTCCTTGGCATGAGAGCCCTCAGAGCCTTCTGTGATAGACATGTGTCCTCAACGCAACAAGACTCGGACCCTCCGTGAAACGACACGGGTCCTTGGCGTAAGTCCCTTTGGAGCTCTCAGTGACTGACATTTATCCTTGGCATTTGTAACTCTAGAGCACCCTATGTTTACACACATCCTCAACACCAAGGTCCCTCAGAGCCCCAATTACTTGACATGTGTCCTCGGCGTCAAGGTCACCCAGAGGGACCCTCCACCTGACACATCTCCTCAGTGTTGAGTCCTCCACGCCGGCCATGGACAGTATTTTGACAATTATCAAGACTTTGAAGCAAAGCTAGTTGTCAATGATCGGTTCCCCCTTTCCCAGGCTATCAAAAAAGTAGGAAAGATAGTCCACTGACCAATGATGAGGGGGATAATGGGCAGAAATATCCTCGCGCATGTGCAGTCACAACAAGAGTGCATTAAATGACTCCCTCGGTAAGATGGGATGCGTTAATTGCTCGGCAAGACCAGGAAGGCAAGTATTAAATGCTCTGAGATCCGCGCATTAAATGCAGAAGCTTCTATCATGTGAAAAGGAAGGCTTATTGCTCGATGACTAAGCACCACCTGTCGCTTTCTAGATGAGCCAATGAGGAGCCTTCCCTCCAAGAGACCCAATAGTCCGCAATGATTAACTCCAATAAGGTATACATAGCTCTCACAAACACAAGTTTAAGGTACGCGAAATCTCACCCAAGCAATAAAATTGTGCTTTCTCGCTTTTCTCTCACATATTGACTTGATCATCGGAGGGGTCGCGCCAGAAAATATTTCGACGCCCTTCTAACCTTTCTTTTTGAGTGACATGATCTAGTTCAAGATCTCGTGAGAGTTTCCTCACTTGTCATTACAACTTTAAACATTTATATGCTGCAGAATCTTCAACTTTCCAGGCAGACTCGAGTTCACTAGGGGAGAGATCTGTCAATTCATTCATTGTGCCAAAATCCTCGTGCGCATATAGGTTCATCAAAATTTGTTTTTGATGTCAGTTTGATTCCTAATAGTATTCAAACAGTTTTACTTGCTCGTCTTCTCTAAGCCACCCTAAGAAGCAGCAAAATGCAATGTTAGAATACCCAGAAAACTCCACCAAATTCTTGGCGTTTATGTTAAAGGCAGAACATTGGTTGAACTCATACCAGCATGTAATTAAATGCAGGGATTTTCTTCTGGGTACCAAACTCCGGTAATCTTTTTCCCGAAGCCGTTTTAGATGACAATCAAAACAAATGCCAGATGAACGTTGGCAATAGCTTTTTCCGGCATATTTCCCTTAATTTCTAGTAACAAATCACATAATTTGAGGATAAAATAAAATAATTTTTTTGCTAAAATTATAAAGAACGTAATCATTACGGTAATGTTAAACAAACAATATAGTGAATGTGCAACATGAAAACATGATAGTTGAGGGTTATGAGAGAAAAGGTCACGGTGAAGGGTCAAATTATCATTTAACCTATAAATTTTTACTGTCGACCTGCCCTATTATTAGACCATTTCAACAGTCCACTTTAGCACAAATGTCACCACTCATAATGGCTGTTTACATTTTTGATTATCTGTAAATTTTGATATTACCTTACCCTACCTAATTTTATTGATCAGCTACTTGAAAGAATTGGCTAGGCCAAAAGAAAATTTTTTAGTATTCCGTAATAAAATGGGATAGGAATATATATATATATATATATATATATATATATATATATATATATTATGTTAATCCCTAAAAATTAAAATCCAAAAGTCTAAAAACTCTAATATTTTATTGATGTTTATGACTTTCTTATATATGTTATATTGATGTTTATAACTTTCTTGTTGTGTTTTATTGTAATTACTTATATATTATCGAATTTATTGTGTTTTCTTTAATGTTATTGGTTTATTATGCTAACTAATTGATGCAAGTTACTTAATTAAATTGTTAAAATGATCTAAAATTTATTAACTAAAAACTATATTTTCACCCGACTTCCTATCCAATTGTTTTGGACAAAATTCAGATAAGAATAGTACACTTAATTGGGTAGGGTAAACCAAAAAAAAAATTTCACAAAATATCAAATAAAAAAATTAAATACCATAATTCTTACCTATAAGGTAGGCTGAACATCCCTACCACTCATACATGTACCAAATTATACTCCTACTCAAGAAAAATGTATCCAATTATAATTCAAATTCTATTAGACCGATATATCCAGATAAAAAAAAATTAGACCGATGTAAACTCATTTCTTTTAACCGATTATACAAATCTTAATTCAAAGTCTATTATATCATACATGCTAATTCGAATTTGAATTTATCAATATCTAATTGAGTGATTATTTGGCAAAATTAAGTAAAAATTCAAAATTAATTTGATAAAATCAACTGCAATTAAGTTAAATGTATATTCTGATTGTACATCTTATTTTTAACAACTTTGGATCCGAAGTGATATAAAGATTGATCTAATAATCAAAATTGCATCCAAATCAAATTTTATAATCGTATTTGAATTGGATCTATAAAAATTCGAACCACTGACAGACTGCCAAGGTAGCAGACGGCCCAGATTGAATCATATTGACCACCTTAATGGTCTTCATTGAAATGGCAAACTATCAAGCACCGAAAATCTTATACTCGCACACACACACACAGACAGAGAAGACCAGATAATTGTTGCTTTTCCCACAATGTCCGCATAACTGAGAGGCAGAAGTAGTGAGAGGCAGAAGTAGTGAACCGTAACAAGATAATCTGTATTTTCTCAGTATTTTGGGAATCCATTATGAATATTTGTCATATGTCCCAAGTACATTATACTCAACCTCCACACCCAACCATTGCACAAATGCAAGGCATCTCTAAACAAAACAATACAGAAATCTTAGCTAAGACTATGATTCACCTGAAAATGGTTGACCAAATGTAACGGGAAAGACTGTATATATTGCACGGTCTGTCACAAGATTTTCAAGATACTACGTTGTAGAAACCAGTACTCTTGACCCCGACTTTAGGCCGTATAGAATTTTGAAGATACTAAGATTTCCACAATCAACCCTCCTCCCAGTCAATGTCATCCTCATCATCTTCTAAAGCATCAGCTTGAACATTTAAGTCATGCACCTTAGAGCTTTCACCTGTATTGCCTGTAACGTGGCAAATAAGAAGACACAGTTAATCGCTACTAAAGATATTTCATTAAAGATGCAGCTAATCACCAGCAAACCCAAATCATCAAGCTGTTCATAATCCACAAAACAGTCAAGGAAAAGGAAACCCATGTGAATACTAAATCTCAAGAAAACACATAAATTCTCTCTTGAAATTTGGAAGAAGAAATAAGAGTTTTCCAAGAAATTCATGTTTTTCATCTTATTTTGATATTGAAGAGACCTAGCTTCTGGAAAAATTAATGTGACTTCGAGAGGAATACATGGAAAAGCTAGCTTCCTGAGTATATGCAAGACATTGTTGTATTAGTACTCAAATCATATAACAAAGCCACCTAAGAAACACAAGTACGAAATGTTAAGTTTGGAGAATTAACATAATATTAGAGACAAAGAGAGAGGTTAAAAAACTTAACCTATCTCCCATACATCATTTGTATTTATAGTTGACCTACAATAATAAAAATTACACATACACCCTCTTACTATTAACAATTTACATAAACTACCATAATATTCTTTATACTCTCCCTCAAACTAGACTATATATATCATATAATCCAAATTTGAAACAAACAGCTGTAAGACGTATACGATTCAATCATTTGGTAAACATATCTGCAAGCTGATCTTCAGATTTCACAAATGGAGTTGTAATCTCCCCAGCTACTATCTTGTTCCGAATAAAGTGACAATCAATCTCAATATGCTTGATTCTCTCGTGAAATACAGGATTGACAGCGATATGGATAACTGTCTGATTGTCATAGAACAACTATAAAAGAAGTTGAACTGGAAACCCAATTTCCTAGAGGAAGTGTAGTAGCCACGTCAACTCACTCGTCGTCTGTGCCATTGCCCTATACTCAGCCTCAACACTGGATCTTGTTACCACGAGTTTTTTCTTACTTTGCCATGAGACAACATTACCTCCTAAGAAAGTAAAATAACCAGTGGTTGATCTCTGATCAGAAGGAGAACCAACCCAATCAACATCTGAGAAACACTCTAAAATGTCCATCAGCTCGATATACCAATCCAAGTTCAGGAGCTCGTTTAAGATATCGCAGTATACGAGTAATTGCCTCCCAATGTGGTACTCTAGAACATCCCATGAACTGACTTACTATACTGACTGCATAGGAAATATCCGATCGAGTAATAGTGAGATAATTAAGCTTCCCAATTAATTTGCGATATCGACCCGAATTCCCAAACAATACACTATCATCCATTAATAATTTCTGATTCGGATCCATAAAAACATCAACCGGTCTACCACCCAGCAATCCTGCCTCCTCAAGTATGTCAAGTACATATTTCTTTTGAAATAAACAAATACCTTGTTTAGATCGAACCACTTCAATACCCAAGAAATACTTGAGTTTTCTCAAGTCCTTAGTATGAAATCGATCCTATGAGAATATTTTTAAATTGACAATCCCCTCAGAATCATTTTCAATAATCACAATATCATCTACATAGACCACCAATAGGACATATTCAACATTTGTCTGTCTATGAAACACAGAATGATCTGTCTGACATTGAAGAAGATTAAACTCTAAAACTGCATCTGAAAACTTATCAAACCATGCCCTCGGTGACTGCATCAAACCATACAAAGATTTTTTTAACCGACATACACTCTTAACATACGCCCCCTGAGCAGTAAACCCAAGTGACTGCTCCGTGTATATCTCTTCAACCAAGTCACCATGTAAGAAGGCATTCTTGACGTCCAACTAAAACAAGGACTAATAAAGATTAGCAGCCAAAGAAATCAAGATACGAACAAAGAAAATTTTGGTAACAGGAGAAAAAATCTCCTCATAATCAACACCATAAATCTGAGTAAAACTTTTTGCAACAAGCCAGGCTTTAAGACGCTCCACGGAACCATCTGGATGATATTTAACAGTATACACCCAACGACAGCCAACAGTTCGTTTACCAGAGGGTAAAAGAACGAGATCCCAAGTCCCATTATAATGTAAAACATCTATCTCCTCCTCCATAGCTTTCCTCCAACACGAATTAGATAATGCAGCTTATAAATGCTTAGGAATAGATA